CCCAGTATTAGACCCCCAGGGGTCTGCGGACCACAGGTTGGGAACCGCTGTGCTGGAGTATGGAAAAATATATAAAACAAAGAACTCAGGAAAGCAAGGAATTCAGCTGAAGAGATACAAATGATTATGCATGGGTAATTGACTTTACCTCAATGGATTATCGGATTATGAATGTATTTTTAGTTTCTGCCCCCCAAAAAAACTTGTGCAAAATAAACAATAATAATATCTATAAATTTCTACAGAGAAGCTTAAAGGTCATCACTGCTATGTAATGGAAATGGAAGAAAAAGTGAGATCATCTTCCAGCAAGGTAGGGGGATGCTCCCCTACACAAAAAATGGAACATTCACCATTATTCGTTCAACAGCTGTCTTGCGAGAAGTGCATAGATATCATAATTTAAAATGACCTCCCGAAATGCAACATCCTCACTCCTCCTTGAGAGTGCAGTCATTACACTTCCAGCCTTGGTGAATGTCTTCATAAATGAACCCAGATTAATTCGTAGTCTACAGTGAACCCAACAGTACCTCCAACTCTAACACTTGTTTCAACTATGATGTAACATACAAACGCACGCCTGCTGGATACTCAATCCTCTACGACTTAAAACATTCTACACACCCTCCCCCCAGTCATTCCATGGACGATTACTACCCTTTCTTTCTTAAATCCCAAATTTATACATCCACTAGGTCACCATATTCTCCTCCATCCTCTCTGTACCTAAGTTGGATCACAGGTGTTGGGAGTTAAGCTAGAGGAAGTGCTGGTAGTTGCATCAGATGGGGAACAATGCTCTTCTCTCCTCTTTTTTCACTCGTTTCTTGACAATACTTTTTGACAGACTCAAATATCGCCTCTTGTTTTTCGGTGTGTGGGTTAGTTGTAAATTGTCTGACCCACGGAATTGTGGTTTATATTCTCCATTAATCAATATTTTGGAGACATGCTATTATTTAATACATGCCCAAAAATGTACCCATAAGTATTAAGGTGAGTGTACTTGGTCCGTGGCCACGTACGAAAGGACGTCGTGAATTTGTTGCTAAAAAATTCACTGGAAAGTGAGGTAGTTACTTCATTCTTTGACACTTGTGTCTCTAGAATTAGCAAGTGAAGTACTGTAAATATTTAATGTTAAACAGAATTTCTTTTATTTTCTCAGTATAAATTATGATTATAATTTATACTGAGTTACTGTACTCTTCAAGTACTGTAATTTGAAATTCCAGAGAACGATGCCTCAACCTGCCCAAGACGAGATCGTGAAGATGTCATGCGTGATGACTGTCACTTCTGAACGACGTCCCTGTAACGTCAGCTGTTTCATAAACAGTTCGAGAATTTACTAAATGTGTATTCTGAAATTTCATTTTGGGTGGGAGCAAGCGTTTGACTGACGAAACAGAGCGGAAAATTAAGCATCTCTTTGCTAAATGTCAGTTTTTACCGGAAAGCATTTTGCCTGGACCTCTTTTGAATTCATGTGTCCTACATAGTATGTAGGACATGGGAGTCCTGCTGCTCCTGCTGCTCCTGTTGTTCCTGATGCTGCTGCTGCTCCTACTGTTGTTGCTGCTGATCCTGCTGTTGTTGTTGCTACTGCTGCTGCCGCGGCTCCTTTTGTTGTTGCTGCTGTTGCAGCGGCAGCAGCTGCTGTGGGTATTATTGTAGGTGAACAATTGTCATTATCGAGCTACGTGGTTGGTGGTACGTGGTTGATGCAACGTATGTCTTGCAAATATAATTATATTCTCATTCATTCACTGTTTTTATCAGGTTTCTGAAGTTGTTTCACAATTTGACTGTAACGCATCTTAGGCCAACTGACCCAGAGCAACCATCACTACTGGTAAACAACGTCCAGCAACACTATGTAATTAATTGTTGTGAACCCACACGATAAGCTGACCACGTGTGTTGTGTGAATTACACCTTTAAGGGCGGAGTTATACCTTGGGCTAAGCTGGCGTTGAAATGAGCCGAGGTAGGATGACAGCTCTTGGCCTGTAAATGAAGTGAGGTTTCAATGGAATCAAAGGTTAATTTATTTAGTGTTCTCTAGGCATACAAGGACTAGATTAAAAAAATTACCAGATGAAAAGAGTTTACTTTTTTTCAAACAAGTGGATGGATCGCAACCAAAGGGCTTAGCAAATCACTACGTCCATCACCATCATTACCACCATTACCATCACTACCACCATCGACGGGACGGCCCAGCGGAGACCGGAAGTACTGTAATAAACAGTTTACCTATTCTGATGCTAGCTGCTACACACATCTCACCGGCACGCCAGCACGCCTTCACGCCAGCATTCCTTCACGCCAACACGACCTTACGCCAGCACGACCTTACGCCAGCACGACCTCACGCCAGCACGCCCTCACGCCAGCACGCCAGAAAGCCCTTACGCTCCCACTGAGATACATATCTTGAAGGACTCTTGTAGACACTGCTTTCCTTCAGAAGCTGCAGCGCATCAGCAGTATG